AATGTTTACCACCAAACGATAGCGCTTTTGAAGTTAAAATTTGTAAATATTTTAAAATAAGCAAATATATCTTACATCATTGTAATCTAAAAATAAAATTACGTTTGTTCTTAGTTTAAGTGGAAACATAATTATAAGAATGAAATTTCTTATGGAGAAATATTTCCAAACATTCAGAATAAACCTTGGTTTCATAAAAATTCAAATAAAATGACACCAATAGAAGTTAAACAAATTAATAGAATTCTAACAAATCACACTTTCTGCAAGGAGACATTATCAAAAATGAATATTTTTTTTGTTGCGCTATAAAAGATCATTCTTTTGATCTTATTGTGCTAATGATTTTATTAATAAATGAAATGAAATGAAATGAAACCCAAATTGAGAATTTTGTAATACAGTTGAGTGTAATTAGAAACGTTGTTTGAGCACTCCACAACATTTGCATTTACTATAGAGTGGAATTTGATTTTGAAAGGTAGGTCTCTCATATACTTATTAGTATGTTCCTTTGAACTTCGGACTAAAACCTGTGGAACTGTCAAACTACAATTTTNTAAAATATATTCAGCCCTATTCTGCATTTCGATTATGCTCCCCCATTCCGCTTCGCAACAATCGTAACTTGGTATTCTGAGTTACGATCGAATCGAAAGAAGAAGAGGAAGAGCGAAGACATTTTCGAAATCAGCTGCTTGCCTAGGAATGTGTGAAATCGAAACGAAACAAAAGAAATGTTTACCACCAAACGATAGCGCTTTTGAAGTTAAAATTTGTAAATATTTTAAAATAAGCAAATATATCTTACATCATTGTAATCTAAAAATAAAATTACGTTTGTTCTTAGTTTAAGTGGAAACATAATTATAAGAATGAAATTTCTTATGGAGAAATATTTCCAAACATTCAGAATAAACCTTGGTTTCATAAAAATTCAAATAAAATGACACCAATAGAAGTTAAACAAATTAATAGAATTCTAACAAATCACACTTTCTGCAAGGAGACATTATCAAAAATGAATATTTTTTTTGTTGCGCTATAAAAGATCATTCTTTTGATCTTATTGTGCTAATGATTTTATTAATAAATGAAATGAAATGAAATGAAACCCAAATTGAGAATTTTGTAATACAGTTGAGTGTAATTAGAAACGTTGTTTGAGCACTCCACAACATTTGCATTTACTATAGAGTGGAATTTGATTTTGAAAGGTAGGTCTCTCATATACTTATTAGTATGTTCCTTTGAACTTCGGACTAAAACCTGTGGAACTGTCAAACTACAATTTTACTGTCTCAAGTAAGAGTAAAAGGAGAACAGAAGCACTATTTCCTGTAAAAACGTCAGTCGGTTTGTTTACATGTCATTTGTACAACACTGGCTGAAATATCACTAACTAATTATTAAAATCTACATATTCAAATATTTCGTTGTTTACTTCCATTTTTTTTTTTACAAATATAAGGTTCTTTGCTTTCACCGCTTTCTGTTTTTGTTTGCACATGCAAACCAGCTGATCGTTNCATTTCAATTAAATAGGTAATACATATATTCTGAATATAAACCAAATCGGAGCACAGATGCCGATTTTTTAATTATATAGACTCGCGCCGCACATAACTGCCAAAATTTTTTGTGTATTTCTTTTCGTGTAAGCAATATGCATTCGAAATGTGAACTTAATCGGATCATAAATACGGATTTTCCAAATATCTCGACTCCTGCGCCACCTATCAGCAATTTTTTTTTGCGGATTTATTTCTTTTCACGCAAGTAATATATGTTCTAAATATGAACCATATCGGACTATAAATGCGGGTTTTACAAATATCTCGACTCCTGCGCCACCTAGCGGATTAAGTCATCTTTTATATTGCATTGTCCTCGAATACTGAGCTAAGTTTGAAGTTTCAAGTTTGTTAAATATTGACTGCAAAGTTCCAGGACATACAAAGATACATACATACATACAAGTGAAGTTAAATAAAAACTTGTAATAAAATATATTCAGCCCTATTCTGCATTTCGATTATGCTCCCCCATTCCGCTTCGCAACAATCGTAACTTGGTATTCTGAGTTACGATCGAATCGAAAGAAGAAGAGGAAGAGCGAAGACATTTTCGAAATCAGCTGCTTGCCTAGGAATGTGTGAAATCGAAACGAAACAAAAGAAATGTTTACCACCAAACGATAGCGCTTTTGAAGTTAAAATTTGTAAATATTTTAAAATAAGCAAATATATCTTACATCATTGTAATCTAAAAATAAAATTACGTTTGTTCTTAGTTTAAGTGGAAACATAATTATAAGAATGAAATTTCTTATGGAGAAATATTTCCAAACATTCAGAATAAACCTTGGTTTCATAAAAATTCAAATAAAATGACACCAATAGAAGTTAAACAAATTAATAGAATTCTAACAAATCACACTTTCTGCAAGGAGACATTATCAAAAATGAATATTTTTTTTGTTGCGCTATAAAAGATCATTCTTTTGATCTTATTGTGCTAATGATTTTATTAATAAATGAAATGAAATGAAATGAAACCCAAATTGAGAATTTTGTAATACAGTTGAGTGTAATTAGAAACGTTGTTTGAGCACTCCACAACATTTGCATTTACTATAGAGTGGAATTTGATTTTGAAAGGTAGGTCTCTCATATACTTATTAGTATGTTCCTTTGAACTTCGGACTAAAACCTGTGGAACTGTCAAACTACAATTTTACTGTCTCAAGTAAGAGTAAAAGGAGAACAGAAGCACTATTTCCTGTAAAAACGTCAGTCGGTTTGTTTACATGTCATTTGTACAACACTGGCTGAAATATCACTAACTAATTATTAAAATCTACATATTCAAATATTTCGTTGTTTACTTCCATTTTTTTTTTTACAAATATAAGGTTCTTTGCTTTCACCGCTTTCTGTTTTTGTTTGCACATGCAAACCAGCTGATCGTTTGACACTTTTCATGAACTTACAGGAAAAAAACTCCGGACTAAATCCTGTAACTACTGACTAGGTTTCTCAGTTCCTCTCTCAAGTGTTCCCACTTACAGGTTTTATGTCAATGGGAACGAATTCCTGTAAGTTCTGACTAAATACTGTAAACCGGGCTGCTATTGGAACGGACTAACTATATGTATGTCGTTTGGATCGTTAAGTGGTTATGCACACAAAACAAATTTAATTTCCTTTTTTTTATTTATTTTGTATTAATGAAATTATCTTATTACTTATAAACTAAGACATACCATTATTTTTTGATAAAACATAGATACTCAGGCAAGTTCTGGAATTCACTTCCGAGTGAATTTTAACTACATTCAATTTGAATTCAAAGTGGCTGTGGTTGAATTTCACTCGGAAGTGAATTGCAGAGGCAGGTTCTGCTAATTTCATTGACCACGAATTTTTTATGGGGTGGGAGCGTAATATATATATTTCCTTATGATAAAAATAATCATTTAATTAACTGTTAAATTTTTTGATAAAGAATAATCGTTATTTTTGGATCTATAAATGTTTTTGTGTCCATGCTTGATAGTTTATGTTTGATCATTTTTCGATTGAAAACAAAGGTTTTTGTCAATGTTATTGTGGCTTATTAACATTTTATTTTTAAATATTTTTATTGAGCTTTGTACCACGATTGTTTATTAGGAAAAATTGAAAAAGCAACAAAATCTAAGCGGTAGAAGTTATAGCAGGGCCATTCCATTGTGACTAGTGGGACATTTTACTCCAGATCAATTGTGAATTTTAACTATGTATGTCGTCGGAACTTATACAACTGCGAAAGATATTTTTTAACATAGAACGATAATTAATGTATAAAATTGCTTTAACAAAACTACCAAACGATTTCTTAGTTTTATTTAACTATCATTTGAATGAATGTGACTGGTGGGACATTGAAAAGAACTCTAGTTTACCCATGTGCACTTAACGATGAATTTTAGCCAAAACATTTAATTTTCACGAGCGATGTATTTGTGTTGTAAAATATGAATTATATGCTTTCGTTTTCATTAAAAATGAGGTTTATATAATCGTCATAGAAATATTAAAAATTATTTTAAGTTGTGACTGGTGGGATATCCCCTTGTGACTGGTGTAAAGTAATTATGCATGAAATAAAAGTTTCCATAGACATAAATTACAACTTCTTTTGATTTTTTTAATATATTCCCACAGCTTAATGAAATTTAGACATTTAAAAAGAGGTTACTACTGCAATAGAGATAATTAGGGCATATTTAAATGTATGTCGTTTCCTCCTTTCAATGGAATGACCCAGCAGCTATGGAATGACCCAGACTTCTTTTTTTTTAGAGCTATGTATGGTTAACGCTTCTGTTTTTGCACATCCATTACGCAGGTTCGATCCCTGCTGAAGTCTAGAAAAAAAAAAAGAAGTCTGATGAGATGTGGTGATCTCCGAAATAGCTACTATAACTTCTACCGCTTAAACTTTGTTGCTTTTTCAATTTTTCCTAATAATCGTGGTACAAAGCTCAATAAAAACATTAAAAATAAATGTTACCTTGAATTTATTTTAAGATCATGAAAAATTCTAAATGGCCATAAGAATCAAGTATGTATATACCCATTTTATTTTATGTGTCAATTACGGATAGCAAGACAACCACGGTTCGGTTGCCTGCTGGCAACGCAACTGAGAAGAAAACTTGTATTATGAATGCCAACTATCGTCAGTTGCTGTAGAATTATCGATGACAGTTCGACAACCAGCAAGCGACTGTAACTAAGCTGCGCGAGTAAGACTAAATTATTAAAATGAAGTTTTAAAGAAAAGACAGCAATAAAGCTAAATCCATTACAATTAAATGCTTAAGAGGAAGAGAAGTGCATGAACGCGGACTAAATTAGGCGACATTTAAAGGAAAATTCCAATCCTCTAGAGCTACCGCGTGCACTGTAAACAAAAGTTAATGCTTTCAAGGTTTTTCTTTTATGATGGTTTTGTGTTCATTTTCAAAGCATATTGAGGACTTCCAAAAGAAGCTGTAGTATAATTGGTTAATAAACAAATGAACCACTTCGTTCAACTTCAAAACCTCCGCTCATAAAAGCTTGCGCACCCGTTCGATTTTTCGTAGAATGAAGTGTCAGCGATGACTTTAATTTGGAAAACTTGGTGTGTCGGTAGTTTTAAAAGAGGCGCTTCAGTTGCTAAAGGAGAAAATTTGCAATCAGTGTTCGCTTTTGTTTCGCCAAAAGGACGTACTACACGGGAATTAAAATTTCAAGTTATTGTTTTGTTATTTTCTCCAAATTCTGTGAAAGCAAACTGCATTCCAAAATGTTAATATCGTTCAAATTATTAAAAAGTAAAATATTTAACACACTTCAATTTTCGCTTCTAAATATTGATATCGATAATCGACCCATTATCTCGATTATAATGATTAAAACCGGTCGATCATACAAGTTTTTTATGATCCATTAAAAAATTAAAATCTGAAATCAACGGTTATAATCGAAAAAATAAAAATTACTAATCATCAAAATATGATTATTCTTGATCAAAATATAAAATGATTAAATATAACAGAAATAGCAGGTCTTGCAAAAAAAAATCTCTCGATGAGAAAGTGAAAACCAGTCTCTCGAATTGAATATTTTGCCTCCTTCATATATATGTACATATTTGTATATGTATATATATATCTTCAGTAGTCAACGCTGAAATCCGAGTTAAAAATGGAACTGTACTTCATTTAACTTAAAACTAAAAAATGTTAATTTCACCTACGTGCCTGCATTCTTAGGTGGTGGTCTATATACGCCAACAACAACAGCGTGATCGCGTTCATAAGGCTCCAACGTAATCTGCTCCTGTGGTTTCAATTTATCTGCCTGCATTTTTTTGACTTCAGCTGCGAATACAGCCTCTGGTTGCGCAGTAGAATCAATACAAGATGCCTTTATAGATATAACAAAATGTCCGTCGTTCTTAAGAAAATGCTGAGCATTTAACGCTACTATGCGACCCTGGTCTGGTTGAGCGACATCTGCAAATATCGTATCCACCATGCCAACTAGCATGCGGTATTTGTGGGGATGGCGAGCATCTTCAATGATAGGAATAATGTTTGTACGTTTCTTAGCAACGTTAATTAGATCGCGACCGGAACGATGCGAGAACTCCACGGCATATACAAGACCTTCGGGGCCAACTACATCCGATACATGAGACACTGTTGTGCCTGAAGCACCTCCAAGGTAGAGAACTTTCGACCCTGGGGGCATGTGAATCTTATCCACGCCACCTAATATTGCTGCTGCTAGTTTCGACCGAAAAGGATTCCACACGCGGTACTCAATTTTTTCGCCATTACTCTGAAATATGAATGTCTATTATAACTAAAATAAGAAATAATGAAAATTAAGTGTTTTTTTTTCTTTCTTTTTACATCAGTTGGGCATCATTCTAAAGTTTTGCTGAATTAAATCTCGCACAAAGGTCTCAAACCAAGCGATTTTTATTTTTCGGCAAAGCTTCACGGCCACATATTGCCGTGTTCTGTACCCCTGCACAATCTCATCATAGTTACTAATTAAATGGTTGTAATAAAAAATACGAAACATACCTCAACAGATATACGTTTCTCGCCGTAAACGTCTGACCCCGGGACAAAGTTGCGCGTTACTAAAGCATCTTCCTTTCCTCGAGCAATAAAAACGCCCTCATGGCGATGTGGCTCAATAACAACAGTTTTGCCTAAGGATTATAAAACTAATATTAATAATTCAATGTAAAACCACACATGCTAACCTCCTTTGAATCCTCCAGCACCACCTCCGCCCCGACCACCACGGCCGCCTCCACCTCTTCCTCCGCGACCACCATCTCCACCTCGACTGCCACGACCGCCAAAACCACCTCGTCCACCGAAACTGCTGCGACCACGATCACCACCGCCTCGACCGCCACCGCCGCGATCTCCTCCACCCCGACCACGGCCTCCAAAGCCACCTCGTCCACGACCGCCACCTCCTCGTGGTGAAAAACCTTTAACATTTCATATTAAATTACAACTCTATCCGATTCGCCCAACTCGATTTTAATGTTTACCTGGTTTTCCCATGACTTAAAAAAGTATACTTAAAATATTATTTTATTATTATTATAGCTCAAACTTTTTCTTCGAACAGCGGAAAAATGCCATGAGGCTAAAAAGCAAGGAAAGAAACCAAAACACGTGTTGGTTTTAGGGATGTAAAAAAACATCGATGTATCGAGCGACATCGATGGTCGTTGCCGATGTTAAGTCAAAACATCGATGTTTTGAAAAACATCGAAAATGTTTCTTTACTAATTTTTCACCAAATTAGAACTTTCATGGTATGCATAAATTTGAATAAATAAATGTGAATATATAAGAACATGTTTAATTGCTTTAATACTAATGAAATTGTAAAATTCGTATCGATTCGCCCATAAACTCGCCATCGGATGAAAACCCGGCGGTACGTCTTAATGTCAAAATGATGTGTTTGTTGTAAAATGAATTCGCCTTGTTTACAACAAACACATCATTTTGACATTCAGTAGTACCGCGGCAAAAATTTAATTCGCCATCAACACCGCCTTGTATAAATTCGCCTTGATCTCTTCGCTGCGAATTTTTCGAACATTCACTGTTCCTTTCAAGGCGAATTTATACAAGGTGGTGTTGATGGCGAATTAAACAAGGCGAATTCATTTTACAACAAACACATCATTTTGACATTAAGACGTACCTCGGCGAAAATCTAAATTCGCCATCAACACCACCTTGTATAAATTCGCCTTGGTTCCTTTCTTTTGACGCAAGGCGAATTTATACAAGGTGGTGTTGATGGCGAAATTAGATTTTCGCCGAGGTACGTCTTAATGGCCCGTAGTCATAGTCAAAATAAAGTCGACATTAAAGTTAGTTGCAGCTTTTTTGACAGATATCCCATTGAAAATTATGTCAAAAAGCTGCAACTAACTTTAAAGTCGACTTTATTTTGACTATGACTACGGGCCATGGTCAAAATGATGTGTTCGTTGTAAAATGAATTCGCCTTGATTACAACAAACACATCATTTTGACATTCAGTAGTACTGCGGCGAAAATTTAATTCGCCATCAACACCACCATGTATAAATTCGCCTTGTTTTGACGCGTTCGAAACGAAACTTGCGACGTTTTGAAGGCGTCAAAGAAGAGGAAGGAAAGTGTCATAGCAATAAATGAAAACAAAAAGTGTGTAATGTATAAAAACTAATAGAAAACGCTTGTAACAATCCTATTTTAGAATTCGCAACGTGTTTGCAAAGATAGAATCGCGCTAATGTGCGCTAATTTCTCGGGTTTTGCACAAAGTTTAGAAATTATATTTTTATGTTTTTTATTGTTGAGTGAACCATATTTTTATACAAAATCGGCGGAAAAATATAAAATCTGCAGTTTTTTTACAGCAATCATATGGCAACGTTATGGCATCGTTTCGCACAAACGCACAGCAAAGCAACAAAACAAACGCTAATTTTTGCATTTCGCATCAGTGTTGCCGCGAATATTTTTAGTGGTAGCTAAATTCCTTTAAAAAAGGGCTAAAAAAGAGCTAAAAAAAGTCGTTGTGGCTAAAAATGGCAGCCACGGGCGTAGCCAGGTAGGGGCAGGAGGGTGCTCGAGCCCCCCTAACTTTCAAATTTTTCTTATATATATATATATATATATATATATA